CCCCAAAACCCCAAAACCCCAAAACCCCTCTAAAAGTCAATAAAATTATGATGTAAGCTATTAAATATTCTACTCAATCTGAGAGTAATAAATAGACTTGTGAGTAATTTTGTATTTTTGTTAAGTAATAAGAAGGAAGAAATAGGAGAAATTTTAGATTTATAGGAGTATTGTATTTAGAAGGAGGCAGGATTTGAGGCAGAAGATGTTAGAAAAGAGTGATAGGGGAAATAGAGAGGATATTGAACTCTAAACAGCCTAGCAATGTTCACTCTTAGATTATTAGCTGCAATCTTTGGGGAAATAGGATAAAGCAAGAAATTGAAGCAGAATTTAGTCAGATAGATCACTGTTTTAAGGGATTTGAGAAGTGTTTGCGCGACGATTATTGCGAAATTTAAGTTTTAACTAGTCTTTTAGTATAGGCGGGGTTAGATGTTGCTTGGTGCGAATTAATTTGGGTCATTCAGTTTTGGAGATTATGATGCATCTCTTCCAATGCCTTGCCAAAATATGTCAGATCTGATGATTTTGGTAAACTCGATGTCGGTTTTCTTTTTGAAAAATATGACTTTTAAAAATATCTCTGTTGGTGAAAGACCTTCAAAATTATCAATCTCTATAGAAATAACCATAATTCTTACCTTTTCCGTCAATAGAATAGCATGAGAGTATCTTTCTAATGCCATACCCTTTGGGGTTTGTCTCCGACAATGGATGGAACTCTCTTGACTAAAATGTTCAGTAAAAAATCTTACTGCTGCTAATTTCTTGACTGCTCTGACTACTTCTCCATAATTTCTTACTTCTAAATGGCCTAGTTAATCTAATCTTACTCAATTCCTCAAGTTCATGTCTATGAATTGACTTGCTACAAAAAGGGAATTCTTCAAAATCTCTTCCTTGCTTCTTCATCAGCCAGCCAACTTTGTCTCTGAATTCCTTAATAAAGTGGGTCTTGAAGATCTCCCATGCATGAGTCTGGAAGTAGTCATATGCTACAGCAGGGATAGTCCTGATGAACACTTGAATATGAAGTTCGAGCCATACGTTGTAGTACCTACTTCTTTTATTCCCTTCTTGCATTCATATATGAGCTCTGTAGATTATTTAGTAAGAACTTACTTAACCATTTTGGTCTTTCTGTTGAACAAGACTTCTTTTATTAAGACAATTTTGTCCTTCCTAGTCCCTTTCTTCTTCTGGCTCTTTGAGTCTGATGAGATCTCCATTATGATATCCATCCAAGCTGAATTTTGATTAAAATTTCAATTATTTTTCACTAATATGGGGTTTTGGGGTTTTGGGGTTTTGGGGTTTTGGGGTTTTGGGGTTTTGGGGTTTTGGGGTTTTGGGG